GGTCACCCATCCCAAAAGTAGTTTGAGGTGTTACAATACCTAAGGATAATACAATGCTTTATTAATGACATTTGTTGGTCTAGCCTGTCAATAGGAATAATTAGAATAAAATCTTGATCATGTACTGCTTGTAAACACCCAAACACTATTTTCTTTCTTGTGTTCATGTCAAACTTTACTTCCATGTCGTGAACACTTTTACTAAAAAGAGCACTCGTCAAAACATATTGGACTTTATGAGGGACGATGTCCTTGCTAGTGAAATTGTTAAGGTCAAAATCTGGAATCGTACCACTAAGACCATCCAAATTTGTGTGAAAGTCAAAGTTCATGCCACATCTTCCATTGTATCTCAATATATAATACCCAAGATTTGTCCCTAGAAGCAACAAACTATGTAACAACCTCTATTTTTGAGTACAAACTTAGCCTCCAACCCTAATAGGTAAAGAAGTCACCATTTATTAAAGATCCCGAAGAAGAGACCTCCACCAACCAAAATATCTTAAAGTTTCCATTATAACTCTTTATTAAACCAAATAGTTACATTGTCTATGTGAGTCGGTTGGCATGCTCTTAAGAAAAAAAATAGTTTTTCGATACCATGCATGATTAGAGTAGGAAAATCACACTATGGGATCCCTTAAACATGGAAGAAGATGCATTATTTCCACAACCCTATAAGCTCTCATAATGGACAACCATTTGATAAAAACATTTATCTTAACTAAAAACCCTTCAGAGCAATTTTATCCCAGCATTGATTTCCCAATATCTGAAGAAAATAACTAACGTGATGGTTACTTCCATCACACGAAAGAAAAAATATTTGAGTCTTATGAATATTCAATTCTAGGTTCAATATAGTCAAATTTAGAAGGAAAATATCTCAGGATTTCTCCACATCTCAAGATTTCTTTCACACATGGTAATTCGTTAAATTCTCTCCATTTTAGCCATGGAGTTAATTATGCCTCACAACTTTATGAAGAAACCCGCCATATATTCATAATCTTCCTATTAAGCAATTAATTTTACCTTATTAAATCTTGTAGCCTCACTTTATTTACCTTTTCACCACCCGTATTATACTTCTCAAAGATATCTCATGCTTATTTGAATTTAGCAACAATGTAAATTTTATAAAAGATTTCATTATTTACACCTTGATTTATTAAAAATAATGTTTTGTAATCTTTTTTCTTCTTGTTTTCTTTATATGCCTCCATTGAACATAGTCATCTCTTTATAACCTCAATCACTTCTTGAAAAGTAAACAACAACAATCTCAGTTTTAACCATTTAAGTTCCCATTTCTATTTCTTCTATTCACGGACATAAATATTTCTCAATTGCCTTAGATTATCATAGTAGATTCACTTTTGATCATTTTGGGTAAATCTAAATCTGAAGTTCTTATCCTTGTCAGAAAATTCCTAACAATGATTTAAATTCAACACCATATTCATGTCAAAACTGTTAGAAGTGATGATGGACTTGAGTTTTTAATGCCCCATTTTTATGCATCCAAATGGAAAGAAAATCAAACTAGTTATTTTTAGACTCCCTAACAAAATGGTTGTGTTGAAAGAAATCACCAACATATCTTAAATGTTGGGAGAACATTAGTTTTTTAATCAAAATAACCTAAAAAAGTATTGGTCATATGTAGTTTTATAATTCACCTACATCTTAAACAATATTCCTAGTCTAACGTTACAAAACAAGTCACCTTCTTTTGATAGATTTGGTGATCACCCCGACCATAATAACCTCAAAATATTTAGATGTCTATGCCATGCTTCAACAATTAAAAATCATATAACCAAATTGGATGTAAGAGCGAGGAAGTCTATTTACTTAGAACATAAGAAAGGTGTCAAAGAAGTCGTTTTTCTTGATCTTAACACCGCAACTATTTTCATCTCTAGACATGTAACTTATCATGATCATGTATTAACTTACCATTGCTCGAATCTACCTTAACATTTGAACTACCATTCCATAAATGCCACCCTATAAGCCCTAACACTATCATTAAAAATGACCATGAACACACTTCACCAAATATAACATTAACACCATACATCATTTACATTTTACACTTGATGAACCTAATTAGCATGCCACATACAACTCTGCTCGAGTGAATAATCCAAATGAAACTGAACTCTTAACTTACATTAACCAAAACATTAGAAAATCAACCACAACTAAACACAAACCTAACACTTGTCTGATTACTTATGCAATATCTTATTGGATTCAATCACACCAAACTCTTTAGGTACTCTTTATCATATCTCTATTATCATTCATACGCTAACACTTCAAATGCACGTAACACATTTTCCATGTCTCTCACAATTGATATAACCAAGATATCACTTAATAATGCTAGGTTGAAGCTAAGAATAATAAGTTGCAAGCTTTGCAACAAAATAAAACTTGGATTTTTGTGGATATTCTAACTCATATCAAACCTATAGGAAGCATGTGGATTTACAAAATGAAACATAAGGAAAGTGGTAACATTTAAAGGTATAAGGCGTTGTTGGTTGCAAATGGGTATAATCAAGCGGAAGGAAATCATTTCTTTAAAATCTTCTCACATGTGGGCAAGATTACAACTATGAGAGTTCTTCTTGTAGTAACACCCATAAAGTTTGGGCATTTACATCAGTTAAATGTAAAAAAAAAAAAAAACTTTCTTGCATGGTGATTTACAAGAAGATGTTTACATGATTGTTCCTTAAGGTGTTAAAAGTCCTAAGCCTAATCAAGTTTGTAAGATACTCAAATTTTTTTATGGAATAAAACAAGAAAGTAGAAAGTGGTATGAGAAGTTGACAGAAGTCTTGTTTGACTAAGTGTATAAGAAATCCACATCTGATCATTCTTTATTCATTTTTCACAAGGAGACTTCTTTCACAATCATTTTGGTGTACGTGGGTGATGTTATTCTAGCAAGAAATTCCCTATGAGTTTGATAAAATCAAGAACATTTGGGACAACTAGTTCAAAATTAAAGATCTTAGACAATTGAAATATTTCCTTGTAATTGAAGTAACTCACTCTAAAATTGGGATAACTATTTGTCAAAGAGAATATTGCCTTGGTTTGGTCTATGATGCATGATTCCTCAGTGTTAAACCTTTTGAAGATGTTGCCCGCTATAGAAGACTTGTGGGAAAGTTACTCTACCTAACCACTACAAGGCATGACATTACTTTTATCGCACAACAACTCAACTAATTTCTCCGTTCACCTACCATTATCTATTATGAAACTGCATATAAAGTCATAAAGTACCTTAATGACTCACTAGGTTGAGGCTTATTATTCAAGAATGATGCACATCTTCAATTAGTTGGTTTCACTAATGTAGATTGGAAAGACTAATTAATTACTATAATATCTACTAGTGGTTAGTGTTTCTTCCTTCGTTCTTCATTAATTTCATGAAAAGCTAAAAAAAACAACACACATTTTTAAGGCGTTCTTCTGAGAAAGAGTATATGGAACTATCCTTTGCATCATACGAGCATCATTGGTTAACCACCTTGCTTGGAGAATTATAAATCGATTGTATCAAACCTCAATTCTATATTAAGATAATCAAAGTGCAATACACATTTCTACATAATTAAATTAAATATTTTAAGTGATTAAATTATATTATATTTGATGAAAAGGAAAATAAATTTAATTTGATAAAATATACAGTACTATATACAAATATGATTTTAGATTATTAAAAACTATAAAGTAGTTAATATTTATGTAATTCTTTGTTCTCATATTTGGAATATCCTAGTTTTACAATTATACTATTTTAAAAATTAGTACCCTTATATTCTTTTAAGCAATATAGTACCCTAAAAAAAAACCTTTAATCATTTTTTCTTATTATCCTTGGATCAATTACTTTTTCAAAACATCATTAAAGAAAAAAACAAATTCAAATATATGTACCTGTTAAACTTATTTAATACTAATTCAATTTTATTCAACTAAACATTAATTCTTCCACAAGTACAATTTATTGATTTGACAGATTGATAAAGCTTGAATAAGAATAACATTAACATTGGACAATTTTGTAGCAAATGATGCAATCACCTTACTAATACCAATCAACCATAAAATAAGCGTGGTAAAACTCAAGAATTAATATATTTTTAAAAATTGGCTGAGAGTGTGTTTTTTTTCAAGATTTTAAATATGAACCATGATATATAAGTAGTAACTTTAAATAAATTTTTGTCAAATTAATTGTCGATTTCAAAATTAGATAGCAAGTTTTAAGAAACTGGATATCAAATTTAAAAAAAAGTGTTAAAAATTTAAAAAAGAAAAAGCAGAAAGGAAGGACATTATCGGAAAAGAACAAGGTAGAATAATTGAATTGAAGAGTAGTAAAAAAAGAGTGGAAAACCACTAGATAGATAAATTTGAGTGGTCCTACATTCGGAACAACAGAGAAAACCGAACACTGTCTCTTCCTCCGTTCTCATCTGCCTTGGGATAGTCCTCCCTTCTGCAACTCTCTCTCTCTCTCATGCAAGTTACAAGTCGGTGTTGGCTAATTCCTCTCTCTCTCTTTGTCAGTTTTGCCTATATTTACAGACCCTCTCAACTCACCTTTCCCTTTTATCTCTTCTCTCCCGTGACCCCTCTCTCTCTCCTCTGTCTCCATCTCACTTATAACTCTTATAATTACCACTCTTATGCCCTATTCTTTAACACCCTATCAGTACTTTCCCTTCTCCTCGGCCAACCCCAATTTCGTCTCTGCCACTTTGCAACACCCTCTTTCTTTATCTCTCCCAAGTACTTCCCCTAAATTAATAAATTCCCCAATCCCAAAATTTTCGACTTCTTTTCCTTGGCTTTTTCTGGGTTTAGGGTTTTTCTTTTAACTTTTTTTTTATGCCCTGCTGTTTAACATGGTCGATTCTTCTTTCTAATAGAATACCTTCTCATTTGAAAACAACAAAATGTCCTGTTTGAGTGGAACCGGAGGAAGAACCTACGGGTTAGATTTAGATATAATAAAATCGCCACCATGTTCATGGAGTAGAACTTCACAAACATCTTCTTCGCCTTCTTCAACAATCTCTGAATCAAGCAATTCGCCGCTCGCAATCTACACCACAAAACCTAGAACTCCTCGAAAACGACCCAACCAAACCTACAACGAAGCTGCAACACTTCTTTCAACTGCTTACCCGAATCTCTTCTCCAATCCGAATCTAAAAACGAACCCGAACAATAAATTCCATAAACCGTTATTATCATCGGAGAAAACTTACGATTCCGATTCCTCGGAACTTCTTCTACCTTTCCGAGTATTTGACACGTCTTCGTCTTTTTTACTTCACGGTACAATTCATCAACACAAGCCGAATTTACCGTCAGAGCCGAAGCCGGTGAAGCCATGTCAGAGTCCTGGAGAGATAAGTTCAATGGTGAATTTACTCGAATCGAACGACGGAGATGATTTCGATGCCGAATCGATTCTCGATGAGGAAATTGAAGAAGGCATCGATAGCATCATGGGAGGGAGAATTCAGGAGGATGAATCTAACGGTGGCTCTTCTCATCTTCCATGGATTGGTTTTGGCGGGAAAATCGATTTCCGGTTAGGTTTACAGAGAGCTGGAGTGAGAGCTCTTCGTCATGTTGATGAAGGTAATTGGTGGAATTTTCCGGCGGTTGATATTCTTAAAATTTCGCCCAAAATTTGCAGTGTCGGTGCTAAAACGGCGGCAGCACCGGTGACGGAGAAAAAAAAGAAGAAGAAAGTGGTTGTTGTTATGAAACAGAGCGAGGAGTTGAAAGAAACGGAATTGCCAAAGTCGAAACCTGGGTTGTTGTTGAAATTGAATTACGACGGCGTTCGAAAAGCGTGGTCCGACCGGGGAACACCGTTCGCCGACGACAGCCCTATTTCCGATGTATCGGGAAACGACGTCAATGTATGTTTCTCATATCACTCTAAGTTTAAACCTTAATTCTTTCAACTTTTTTTTAATGTTGTGTTTTCCGACATTTTTAGTACCTTGATCCCTCACATGTTTCAAGAACAAGTGTATTAACAAAAAAATTTAACATTATTTTCCTCGGTTTTGTTTTGAAAATTTATAATAATCACTTCAAATAAATAAAAAATGTTTGAAAAATTGACTCCTAGGTGAGATTTTGGTCACGTGGAATATGGGAATAACACTTTTTAAAACTAAAATAGTAAAGTATTTCATGCATGTCATGCCCCATTCTTCTTTACTTTACATTTCAAGATATTTATTTATTTCACAAAAAAATAGAAACATTCTCTTACTTAGATTTAATGTTTTTCATTTTGTTATTCCATAAAAAGCTTAAAGTAAAATCATATATGTGGTCTCATCTCAAAATATTGTAGAAAAATCATTTATACTGTGTTTGTGTATTTTGTATAGGTCTTTAGGTTGATTGTAGTATGTTTTTGTCTTGAATTAGATAAATTATGTCATTTTGTCACACATTTATTTAATAAATTTGTTTTGTTTTTTTAATTGTGGGAGACAGGCACGGTTGTCACAGATTGATTTGTTGTGGGAGAACGGAGGAGGGGTGAGAGAAGCGAGTGTGCAACGTTATAAAGAAAAACGTCGCACACGTCTCTTCTCTAAGAAGATAAGATATCAAGTTAAAAAAGTCAACACAGATCGACGGCCAAGGATGAAGGTATGATGACTTTGTTGAAGAACACTTGAAAGATGAAAGAAAAAAAAAAAAGATAGGAAATCTAGTTTATGATATGGTTGTGATAATTGGATAATGAGATTTTTCTTTTTTGTTATGGTGAGTGGACCCCTTTGTGGTTGTTGGTCACTTTATGTCCAACTTTTGAGGATCTTTCTATTTCAATTTGTTTTTAGTTACTGCACCAATGTTTAGGTTTTCTTTATGTAATGCTAGTCTCTTGAGATTCTTTTCTGATTAAATTACTACTCCAAATGGAATTAATTTAATCATTTTCATGTATGAAAATAAAAAGGATTGTAGGTTTGATTGTGTTAATCATAATTAAGGTAACAGATCTACCTTGTTCATGATGTGGCAGTGATGATTTGTTGGGAGGTTGAATGATAGCTAGCTCAAAGCACACAAATGATTGATTGTTTCTAGTTGCATTTAGCACATGATTTTTGGGACCCTATTAACTTTTTTTAAAACATAAAATAAAATTCAGTTTATTTAAATTCAATTATTGAGAAAAAAACCATATTCATCTGTATTTTTGGTAACATTACTTTTTTTTCTATGTTCTTTCCTTTTTTAATTCTTTTTGGATACTTTGCTAGAAGATAAGTTGGAATAGAAGCGGGATGAGAAAAGCAATGAAGTAGTGCAAATTAAATTTAAAAAGCTTAAGATTCTATTACACTTTGAATCTCCTTGGGTTATATGGGAGTGGTTATTCATCTATCTTTATACTATGACGCAACAAAAGATGTTACTTGCTTTAAGTAACACAAAAATGGAAATGAGAAAAACAAGAAAAGATAGAGAGAGAAATATTGTTCGAGTGAAATTAACAGAGTTGATAGTTTTTTTTTATAAACATTAAAGCATCCTTTATATAGAATTATAATACTAACAAACTTTGAGTGAGGAACTACATACATAGTTAGTGTAATCATATACTGAATTATTAATAATTATATATAAATTATCATTAATTACATATTAAAATATCAGTAACTACATTTTAAACTATCACTAATCACATACTAAATTGTCTTTAACCACATACAAAAAACTGAATTACACGTTTGATCAACTTAACTAACTATCTAACTAACTCCTAGTTAGTTTTAACCATCATTTAAAATTATTACATCATCTCCCAATAATTTCTAAATGTTTACAAGTCTTAATTGACTCCTCAAATATTCAAAACTCTCAATCTTCAAGAATTTTATAAAGCCACATGCCAACTGCTCCTCTGTAGGACAATGCATGACTTCTATCATGTCTTCATCACTTGCTCTCTTATGATATGAAATCATGTCTCAATATGCTTGCTTCTTCTATGTGAAATTGAATTCTTGACCAAACTTATTACATATTTGTTGTCAATTACCAATTTCGTAGGCCTTTGCACTTCACACATTAACTCATTAACAAATAATCAAGCCAAATTGTTTGACATGAAGCAAATACTCTTGCTATATACTCAGCTTCACAGAAAGACAATGCAGCGTCTGAATACTTCTTTGTACATTAAGAGATGAATGCTTCATTTGTACAAGAATACATAATCAAATGTACTTCTTATATCAATTTTGTTTCCACACCAATCAATATCACTATAGTCAATCAAACATATTCTCCTTTCACTTTCAGCAGTTGAAAACTTCAACTTCAAATTCCTTTGAAATACCTAAGAATTCTCTTTCCAACTACTAGAAGAGACTTCTTTGGCATGCTCATAAATCATATCAGTATACTTATAACATATATCTGGCCTATTATTGCATAATCATCTTAGTGAGTCAATTATTTGTATGTACAATGTGGCATCTATCTCTTCTTCACTTGCACATTTATTCAACTTAGTGTTTGTTTCAGAAAGACACGGAGAAAGACACGGTTGTGTCTGCTTTACACTTAGTCATCTCAAATTTTTCAAACAGTTCCTTCACATTCCTTCTTTGCTCTTCAAAAATTTCATGCTAAGAAATTATCATAGGCATGTCATCTCAAATTTCTCCTTCATTTGAGCTTTTAGTTTCTCTAAAGCACATGAATGGCTGCCTGTAATAAGCAAATCATCTACACACATGCAAAAAATCATGATAGCTTCTTCTTTTGGTTCTTACAAATGTGCACCATACTCCACAATACATTTAGTAAATTCCAAGTTAACAAGGAATTAATCAATTTCTTTATTTTAAGCTCTTGAAGCTTGCTTTGAACCACATAAGTTAGGCTTCACTCAAGATAATTTTGATAATATATATATTCAGAAGGAAAAAGGAATATGAAGTTAGGCTTTGAGGAATCCAAAATAAGTTAGATCATGTTAATTCAACTTCACTTTTTGTCCTTCAAAGCAAACTTCTTAAAGAATAAGAGGATATCCTCTTTCAAGAAGAAACATTTTGGCATCAAAAGTCTAGAGAACAGTAGGTTTGTTTGTGTAGTTGCACATATCCTTCTTTCACACATAAACTATCATCCATCTTAAGAAAAATTAAATTCATGGTATCATTTTTTCGTATGGTGAATGGTTCTATGACAATGATACTCTATGTTTGCAGGCTTTAAGAAAAAGAAGAAAATGGCTCATGAAAACGGGAATGGATTGCCTACTTTCCTGTATGATAACTTGGTGCCTTTAGTTTAATAAAAACACACATGCATGTAAAATAATTTATTTTAGTAAGAGAAATGCGATTTGTTAGAGAGAGACACTCAAAAAAATTATCAGACATTGAAGCCAAAGGTAGCTGATCCTTCTACATGAAAACATATGATAATTCTTGACAAATCCTCTAATGAGAAAAATAAAAGTATACTAACATTGCTATCATGACCACCACACCCTCTAATTAGACTTAGACATCACTACTTAAATAGTTAAATGATGACAATGATAATGAGCTATTTTCACTATTGTCTCGTGATAAAATTGAATTTTCCTCTATTTTTCTTTCAACTTTTAACTTATAAATTCAAATAAAATCCATCAATTTTTATTTATTTATTATCTATAAACAATAAAAATAGACAATTAGGTTAGGATTTAATATAAAAATCTAGAAAAATAGATATATGTCAGGATGGCCGAGTGGTCTAAGGCGCTAGACTCAAGTTCTAGTCTTCGTAAGAGGGCGTGGGTTCAAATCCCACTTCTGACATATTTTCACATTTTGTTTTTATTTTATTTTGTTGCAGGTATTTGTTCTTGGCCACTACACATTTGATCACTGCCGAAACTCCACCACTAGGTTCGCAATACTCAGGAGAACTCAGAGCCGCAACGCCTACCTCCGTCTGATGTCACACACGCCTTCATGCGGGACCACCGTCTCAGATTCATTTTCCCAGCGCATTTTCACCCTATTTCGCTCTTCGTTCCGACCATCACTATCCTCCCCACCGTAAATTATGGTTTCATGGCCAACAACTTGAATATTACTTGACCAAACAATTTAAAGATATTGCCACCGCTCATCACACTAAATGGAAGCAAATCGACGCCTCTCTATGCACCGTGTTATGGATTTCCGTAGTGCCTAATCTTCAAGCGTGATAACAATTCTTTACCATTTGTTATGAGGTTTGGGAAAAGGCTAAGAAATTTTTCTCTAACAATCTCTATTGTCTCTAAAGTGTCATCCTTAATCTCAATTCTTTGAAATATGAGAATATGGATATGTAAGCTTATCTGAGTAAGCTTGATTCATTGAAGGCTAATTTTTCAACCCTAATATTGTTTATAAATTATGCAACAACTCATGAACAACAACACAACAAGTTTTTCATGATCATGGAGCTCATTGGACTTCCACCAGAACTCAATTCTGTATGCAACTATATTTTGTCGGGATCCACTATTCTTGACTATGAATCGATTAGTCAATAACTCTTGCGCTTGGCGACTCCTCATGCGTTTTGAAAAGTATATGCTCCACCTCCCATTGAATTATCTTCTCTTGCTTCCCACTACCTTGGTCGTGATGTACGAAATGATGGACATGGTGGATAACACCATGGTATTCATTGTAACTATAGCGATTGTTACAATCATATTGAAGTTGAATGTCGTACAAAGGCAAAAGAACAACAACGACAACCTATGGTTGATGTTGTTGCTCAATCGACTATCAGTAAAGATGTTATTATATTAGCTACTTATTATAATTAGTTCCTCAAGTTCAAAGCAGCCCATCAACCACCATTTTCTGACGCCGTTGCTTAGTATGGTAATCCTGTAGCCTTTGTCTCTACATCTTCCCTTGATTCATTAGTTCATGACACCGGTGCCTTTGATCATATGAATGGTAATAAATCTCTTTTATCTCACTTGTCTTATTCTGATTTTTTGCATTCAATCACTGTGCCGGATGTCTCTAAAGTCAAATTTCAAGACATTGGACAGACACACCCACTTCCAAAATTGTCTTTATATTTTGTGCTCTATATTCCTGGTTGTCTTTTAATCTAATATCTATCAGAAAGTCACTCGTACTCTTGATTGTTTAGTTCTTTTTATTGATAATTCTGTTTATGTTCAGGATCGATGTACATGACGAGTGATTAGAGGAGAGAGTGAGTTTGGAGGATTATATCATCTATCTCCATCAGTAACATGTGCTTCCATTGCTTCTCAAAGCCACACACATCAACGTTTGAGTCACCCTATCCTTAATAAAATGTGTCTTTTTAGTTCCATGTTTTTCTAAGCATTTTCCACTTGAGTGTCACTCATGTCAATTAGAAAAAGATACTTGTCACACCTATTTTCAACGAATAAACATATGGGTCAACACATCAAATTATGGTTTCATGGTCAACAACTTGAATATTACTTGACCAAACTATTTAAAGATATTGCCATCGCTCATCGCACTAAATGGAAGCAAGCTGATGCATCTCTATGCACCATGTTATGGATTTCCGTAATGCCTAATTTTCAAGCGCATTAACAAGCCTTTACCATTTGTAATGATGTTTGGGAA